TCACCACCCTCCGCCTCCAGAGCCGTTTCTGGCCCCGGGGGCGGGACCCAACCAGCTCGACCCCACCCACCAGCAACCGGCCAATCCCGTCCCAACCTGCGGTGACGCGCCCCGCGCAGCCAGACCAATAGAAGACCCGCCCCAGCTACTGGGGAGCCCGCTGAGGGGGAGGCTGTCCAGGGCCCTGGGCCCCGGGCAGCCAGGCCAGCAACCTCTAACTATGTTGGTCAGAGAGGGCAAGCCTGCCCCATAGCCAGGTGCCCCAGGATCCTCAGACCAGCCCTGGGGGAGCTGACTTTCATGAAGTGTGAGGCTGAAGTTGAGTGGAAAATGGAGAAGTAGTGTGGCGGGAGCCTGTGGTGTGCGTGCGTGCCCCCGCGCATCCTCCCCCATCTTTCCCCGGGGAATAATGGTGGGGGAAGCCACCAAACAACACATTCAGAATGATCAGAAGCAGCTGCCTTTAATTGGCTGGCACAGGACAGCAGAGCTCTCAGCTCGCAGCCAGAAGGCCTGACAGCTAGTACATGGTAGATTTTTGCAGTAACTAGAGTCAGGAGATGGGCACTGGTGAAGAAGGGTTGGGCATCCAGCCACCTGATACCAATGAGCTCTCTGCCAGCATCCGGGACACAGTGGGTGGGACGTTGAGAGGGAGCCAAAGTTCAGAACCAGGAGCCAACAAAACGGCATGGGAGGTGATTCAGGTAAGGCTAGAGAGAGAGAAAGGAGCATTGTCAGTAGGTGCTTCACAGAGCACACCTCACCCTCCATTCTCAAGATGCTTGCCTCCAACCTTACCCCAGGCCCTTTGTTCCAGATTAGCCCTGAAGAACCATATTCAAAGCCCCTTCCAGGTTCCACTAATCCCTTGAGTTACAATCCAATGTAGAACTCTCAATGCTTAAAAAGTAAAAGTAACTCCTTCCCTGTTCAGATGGGTCAATAATTTATTCAGCCCAGCCGGCCTGGCTCAGTGATTGAGTGTTGACCTAGGAACCAGGAGGTCACGGGTTTGATTCCCCGTCAGGGCACATGCCTGGGTTGTGGGCTAGATCCCCAGTGTGGGGAGTGTGGAAGGCAGCTGATCAGTGATTCTCTCATCATTGATGTTTCTCTCTCTCCCACCCTCTCTGAAATCAATGAAAATATGTTTAAAAAATAATTTATTCAAACTGTTAGTGGTCTTAGGTTGGATCCTCAAGAGTCAAGTCCAACAGACATGAAAGAAAGGAACAACGGGGGCTCAGACAGGGGAAGGGATGTGCCTAAGCCACAAATCCCCCAGTGGCAGAGCTCAGGCCAGAACTTTCTTACTGCAAGTGATAATCATGTGCATGATTATAAAAATGAAGTACATATTTCTAGTGGCCTGACACCTTTATTTTAAGGTCTCACAGGCACCTCAAATTCAGTGAGTTCAAAACCAAAGGAGAATAATGAGTTTTGTCTCTTCTTTCCAATACCCATTTCTTTATCTTATCAAACTGCAATGCTGACCAGTGTTGCTGACTACATGACTTTAATAACAATTTCTGAAGTTTCACCATTAAATGCAACATTTGCTATAATTTTTCAGTAGGTACCAATAATCAGGTTACAGAAATTTCTGTTCTTAGGTTACTAAGAGTTTTTTTGTTCTTTAGTTAAATGATTAATGATGTAAGTACTGTCTTTTTCTTATGAAAGTCTGTTTCAAAAGGGCAGGGAGTGTATATTTTATTTATCATCACATCACTATTGTCTGGCACATAACAGGTGCTTAAAAAAAGCTGTTTAACAAATGACAAAGCCACTGGTCCCACTTTTCTGTTCAGACCCTTTCCACTGCTCTCTAGGGCTGACAGCACACAGTCTGTCAGTGTGGTCTCCAAACTGTCCCATCAATCACACAGGGAAGCTTATTAAAATAACCACACATGGTTGGGCCCCACTCCAGACTGAGGGAATCAGTAACTGAGGGATGATGCCAGGAATCTATGTAAACAATCATCCAACATAGACCAAAGGTCAAAATCATAGGTCTATAGTCAAAACTTCTTGACATGGGGGAGGGAGATTGGGGGCCTACGTGAAAAAGGTAAAGGGATTAAAAAGTACAAATTGGCAGTTAAAAAAATAGTCATGGGGATGTAAAGTACAGTACAGGGAATATAGTTAATAATATTGTAATAACTGTACCAGTCCTTCCGGGGGAATCACTTCCTTAAGTTATATAAATGTCTAACCACTATGTTGTATACCTAAAACTAATATAATATTGAGTGTCAACTCTAATTGGAAAAAAAAAAGACTTGACATGGGCATTCAGAGTCCCCAACACTCTGGGAATAATAGTTTTCCCCTTCATACTCCTCTATCTGTGTGTCTGTTTAATGTGCTTTCCCACTCTATCTATGCATATTCAATTACCTACTCATTCCTTAAAACCCAGACTAAATGAACTGTCCTTTCTGGATCCCAAAAAGTGTCTCTTAGAGCTTGCCAAGCACTTACGGCACCTTTTATTTCTTCTTTGAAGATAGCTAAGAGTATGTGTGGCCACTACACCTTTTCTCACCTGCTGCACTGTGAGCCCCTCAGAGGCAGAAGTAGCACTAAGTTGCCTATCCCACATGAAGCCTTGCCTTTAGGGCTCAATGAGCATCAGGCGGATGAATAAGTGAAGAAGGGAGAATGAAGGGAAATATTGCCTGTTGCGAGTGCTATTACTGGGCACTCAACCCACTTTGCAGTTTCTGTTCTCATAAAGACCCCTGTGCTAGTTGGGTGTAGCATATCCTGGGAAGGATCCTCAATGGGGAATAAGAGAGAAGGAGCCTGAATATCCAACACCTGCTGCTCTTCCAAAAAAAGAAGAGATTCTAGAGATTCACACCCCTGAATCTCCAGGGTTGAGGCCCAAGAACCCACTTTAAAAAACAAACAAACACAAAAACCCAGGTGACTGTGCCTGTGATGCAATCCCCACCCCCAAGTCCATTAGGCACCTAAGGTCTCCTCAGTTCCTAAGGGCAGCCCCCCCTCCTTCCCTCAGTCAACAGCTCCTTTCTGTATCAGTCTGCCGGCTGGGGCACCGATACACAGGCAGATACAAACTACATGTGGTAAGTGATAAAATAAGACAGACCAGAGGGAAGCTTTGCCCAGAGAGAAGATACACTGAACCAAGTCTTCAAAGACAGGGATGAGCAGATACTCAGGCAATGCTTGCAGCTGTACCCTATGACAGCCCGGCATTGTGAAGGTGTGCCCTCACACGCAAGTAGAACCTACAGGTATGAATACAGTGTGGCTCCCGTTATAGGTGATCTCCTTCCCCTACTTTCAAAGGGCAGAAGAGAGACCCAGATACCTGTCAATGAGTGAATCCCGCATGCTGGTAGCAATGGTGCTAGGCTGGGCTTCATTCAGCTTAAAGACACTCTCCACCACTGAAAGCTCTGTGCTGGTTGTGTCCAGGCCACAGAAGGCACACCAGTCGTTCACCACCATCCCAGCAGCGATGACCTCGCTGCCCCGGTTCACAGTGCCCGCCTGGAAATGATAGCTCAATATGGATCATAACATCAATAATCAAAGTTTCTCCCATCCCTGATGAGAACTCCCCCCAAACCCTGCTCCCTGACCTGCAGCCCAATCCCAATCTGTGATGGGTAATAAGCCCAATAATGCAGGACAAAGGGATCTGCTTCAGCAGGAGACAGAGAACAAGAATGCTTACCACAAGGGGGACCTGAAGGAGAGAGGACAGTTCATCCTGGTCTTCAATTGAAGTCTTGGGATGTACCAGCCCTCCCTGATTGCTGAAGACACAGTAGCTTCCTACTAACACCTGGTCAGCCACGGTCTGTCTGAAGACTTCCACTTTGAGCACATCAGCCAGGATTTCTTCTGTCTCCTGTCAGTCAGAGGTACTGTGCTCAGCGCCCAGGGTTTGCAAGTCAAAGAATCCAGGGTCCTCCATGCCAAGAACCACACAGGGCTTAACGCCTTAAAACCCCCATTCCTCTCCTACATAGCTGCATATGAAAGCTTGATCCAGAAAAAGGAGGGGATACAGCTTGGAGCACAGTTGAGGCCAGCTATGGAGCCCCTAATATCCATGCATGCCCTGAACAGCCAGGGACTGCTCTCCACACCACCCTTTAATGCACACTCAAGGTTCAAGTGTCAATCATCTCTCCTGGGCCTGGCTGGTTCCTAATTCTGAAGGATTAATACCCTCTCCAGCTTCTTTCTTATACTGACCACACCATGGAAGGTCTCTATTATCACTATTCCAATGAGTAACTAAAATGTGAGAACACAGGTATAAAAAGAAACCATAAGATACCCCTATTTCCTGCCTGACAGGTAAGAACGGTGACTAGCCATTTACTAGGCTAGTACTGTGACTCTTGGACCAAGCTAGGCTGCCTTACCCTGTCCAGATCTGGGTGGACCAAGGCCACATAGTCATTGCAGGTGGTGACATTGCCCAGGGCTGAGAGCCGCTCCTCTACCCGCCGGATCTGCACTGAGTCTGGGAGGCAATTTCTAATATGTTGTAGCTCCTGGTCAGTAGTGTTGTTGGGCACCAGGAGACCGTGTCTGTTCCCTGGAAAGATCCAAATTGCAGGGTGGAACAAGGAAAGACCATGAATACACAGATACCTGCTGAGCCCTGGAAGCTGAGGATACAACCCAGCCCAATTAATTAGCTTTCCCAGGAAAGCTTTAGGCCAACTCCAGCCTTCTAACCAATTGATCCATACAACACTAAGAGAGACCAGGAGTCCTACTGGGCAACCCGAGACAGCCTAGGAGTCTGTCCCAACACACACTACCTACTTTGACAATACCAACCAGGGGGACCTGGACTATCAGAAAGTGTTCTTGGCATTAGTTATATATTTTGCCACTTAAAAGATAACACCACACACCTACTAGAATAGCTAAAATTTTCAAAAGAACATCAATACCAAGTGTTGGCAAATATATGGAGCAACCAATAGGAGTGTAAATTGTTTAACCACTTCAGATAATTATCTGGCATCATATATTAAACTGAATATTCACATACCCTGTGACCCAGCCATTTTCTCCTAGGTATTACATAATCAATACATGTACTCACTAAAAGATATAGCAGCACTATTTATAACAGACCAAACTGAAAACTACCCAAATGCCCACTGTCAGTAGAATGGATAAATACATTGTGATATACTTACATAAAACATACTATACAGAAACTAGAATGAACAAACTACAATTATGTTGTTAACAACAATGACTAAACCTCTGCCTCCCTCTACAAGGGCACAATTCTGTGAACTTCTTAATTCTCAGTTGTTACCATTATAATATAAAATAAAACGGCAATGGTCAGGCTCAATTCTCCCTAGTTACATCAGAACTTCAAGTTCTGAAGTCATGGTTAGGAGTAAGAGTGTTTTGCCTTCGTAAGAAAATACTGCCCTGGCCAGTGTAGCTTAGTTGGCTAGTGTCATGTTGTAAAATCAAAAGGTTTCGGGATTGATTCCTAATTAGGGCACATGCCCAGGTTGCAGGTTCAATCCCCAGTCAGAGTGGGTGTAGGAGGCAACCAATTGATGTTTCCCTCTCTCACTCAAAAAACAAACAAACAATAAAAAACAAAACAAAAAAGAAAATACTCAAAGGCTAGCATCATCAGAATTATGATTTTAAAAAATTAAAGGAACAAACTCCTATATGAGCAGAACTAGAAATAAGGGATGGCAGTAAACAGAGATTCAGCTCAAAGAGTCAATGGTGCTGAGAGGTAGGATAGGGACGCCACTCAGAGACATGGGGATTTAAGATTTAAGTAACTGAACCGGTTGCCCCAGAATCTTAGCTTTTTAGAAATCTTAGAAAAAGCAATTGACCCAGAGTCAGCAACAGGGGAGAAGTCTGATCTTGCCTCACTCCAGGTGTGGCACCTGGTGAGTCACTTCGGTTCTGTAAGTCTCAGCTTTCCCATCAGTCGAATGAAGCCAATAATCCCTACCTCCCAGGGCAGTGATGGCGAACCTATGACACGCGTGTCAGAGGTGACACGAGAACTCATTTTCTTGGCTGATTTTTCTTTGTTAAATGGCATTTAAATATATAAAATCAATATAAAAAATATAAGTCTTTGTTTTACTATGGTTGCAAAGATAAAAAAATTTCTATATGTGACACGGCACCAGAGTTAAGTTAGGGTTTTTCAAAATGCTGACACGCCGAGCTCAAAAGGTTCGCCATCACTGTCCCAGGGTCTTCGTGAAGAAGGTATGCGAACAAGGGTAAGAGTGAAAGCACTGAATGCTACTTGTTGTGACTACGATCCGGAAGCCTCTGCAGAGGCTGGCCTGCCCGCAGAGCCCGCCATGGAGGAACGCCTGGAAACCCCTGGGCCACCCGGGGCCCCTCCAGGGCCAAAATGACAGGTGCTGGGAGGCTCCGCTCCCTCCCGGCGTCCGCCCCGCTTACCCACACACATCCGCCCGATGATGCGGCAGCCGGCGATGGAGGCGTGCACCACGGGGATGGTTTCGGCGAGCTCGCCCTCGAACACGCTGCGGGGACACGGGCTCGGGGGACAGGGG